TTATTGTAATGACCCACCCTGTTTTTCTCAACCCTTAATCAGCTGACAATGGCAGCCTAAAAGACTTTTCCTCTGTTACAACTTTTGTCTTGATCATGTCTGGATTTTTCTTCTGGCAAGCTGATTTCCTACAAATCTGTACAAATTCTGTATGTTTTCTTCAATCTGATAAGAGGAACAGATCACAAGCCACTTTATTAAGAAAGTCGGGATAATTATTCTCAGAGGATAATTATAAAGTGGGGAAACTGAAGAACAGCAACATGAAGTAACTTGACCCAGTTCTCCTGGAGAACAGTGGCAGAGCTGGAGAGAGGTGATAGCTCTCACGGGCCTCGATCCTTTCATCCTCCATCCCTGGGGTATCCCTTATGTGTGTAATGAGGCAGCTCAGGAATGTTGCAGTATCAGCCGTGGCCGTGAGATAAATCCCGAATCAAATGAAGAAAACCTCATGTGGGCACTGGGAGGGGATGAGCCCATACTGCCAGACTCTGAAACCATTTTGGAGCCCACAGGCGAGCAGGGGCAGTGGGTACCACTGCCATGAATATTCCTGGCTACCACCGCATGCCAGCAATGTAAAGTTCTTTACTTACAAATCAAGACCTGTAAATAACAACACGGAGAAAAGGATAAGTAATTCTTCCACCCTGCCAAGAACCACCTGCAATTTGACGCATTGACGCACCTGAAAGCTGTTTCCGATTTTACAGGGAAACAGTTGGAAAAGCCTCAAAGTAATTTTTCTCTGCTCTAACTTGCACGCTACAAAGAGGAACGAGGATATTACGCAGCATTGCAGAATCAATAGTTATTGCGGAAATTATTGGTTTGATGTCAAGGCCAATTAGCTGCAAGTGAAATTAGCACATACGCTGTGCGGGAAGACAAGTACATGTTCTTCCCCAGATGGGAGAGATGTTGGCTATGAAGGGCCTCCATGCAGGTGTGCACAGAAACTTTGTAATTAGCGTCAGATTTCCCAATGCTGAAAAACCTAACACCAGCTTCTTCTCTCGGCACACGAGAGTCTGCAGCAATGACCTCACCTGTCCTGTAGATGGAACAAACTGAGAGTGGACAAACCTGCAGACCGGACTGACCCTTTGAATTTGGATTTTACACCTGAGAAAGGCTGTACTTGGCCAACCCAACTACTCTCCCCATGTCAGAGAACCATGTTGGCTGAGGTCAACTCAAAACACCATCTTATCCCTACACCTTCCCACTATTGCCCGGACTTGCACCAACAGAAATTTTACTCCATGTCGCAGCTAGAATTTACTGCATTTCATGGACTAATCTATGCTATGCCTGGTTTAGCTACTGAGAAAGAGCTCAACACCTGAGACTAAGTCCTGCTGGAGGATTAAGTGCTTTAGACGAGAAGATAACTATAGATGCAGGAGTAAGTAACATGCAAAGTTTGTCATACTAAAGGAAATTGGCTGCACAAATTTTATTAAACTTTAAAGATCCAAAAGAAGCAAGACAAAGGAGCTAGCTTTCAGGACCTCCATTCAAGGTGGTGTAAAACTAAATGTTTTTGCAGCACCATAATCCACACTTTGAATCTCACCCTGGGAGCAGCCAACACTGAAGAAGACCTTGCAGAAGCCAGGAGGGCGAGAGCCCATGCAGGAAGGCAGCCCCAGGGCTACGCCGGCTCTCCCTGCATACCCCTTCTGCTTCTCCTCCGGACCTCGACTCGTCTGCCAAGCCAACCACCCCCACCACCCCACATTCACAAAACCAGTTCCTCAGTTCAGCAGGGAGCTGGCACCCGTCACCACCGTCACTGAGCAACACGGCACAAACACCACCACGGAGAAAGGCTCCTGCAACGCTGCAGGCTGAAGTCAGCTTCCTCCACCCGGCTGGAGGCTGCCCGCCCCGCGGAAAACCCGTCCACCCCTATCTACTGCTGAGACCTCTGCACAGCAGCAGCTCAACTGATTCTTTCCACAAAAGGCTTTCAGGGCCAAAGGGGACTTTTTCTTCTGGCTTATTAAAGCAAGTAAGATGCACCGAGTTGCTCTGCAGCCTGCGATCTGCATGTGATCGCTGTAGTCCCTTTGAAATACAATAAACAGTAGAGTAAGCCTTGGCTCACATGTCATCTTTTGTGCTACGGTGCGTTACCTTTTGGTGGGCAACAGATCTCAAAGATGTTCACGTGAACTGCACTGACCCCTGAAATAAGGAGAGCTGCCCCGATGCACATTCGTGCACCGGAGGTGACAATGTCTGCCAGTCGGGGACAGCGTGTAGGTGAGGATGGAGGGGTACAACAGAATCCCCTGGACCTCCCGAACATCATGCAAAATGCCTTCACTGGGATAACCTGTGCAAATAATGTAATTTCCATGTATCCAGCAGTATGCTGTGAAATGCACCTGCAACAATTCCTCGGGATAGTTCCTCTGTTATTTTTTATTTTATTCTCGAATCAGCTCTGCTTCCGTTTTGCTGAAGTGAGGCACCGTTGTGGTGGTGGAAATGGAAAAAAATACTCACAGCTGTAGAAACACAGAGACAACTCAGCTGGGGTGATCACTTATGTCCTGAGCTGCAAGACTCTCATAACTGAGATCTGTGGAAATCCCACCACACCAACACTCAGCAGCTACAGCAAAACCCTGATGCCTTTGTGCTTTACACTTTTGCAGAAACAGCCTTAGATTCTGGGGAGGTTCTGAAGCTGTGGCTAATACTGAAGTGAATGTACTAACGGTGCCATCCAGAGGTACTTGGGTGTAGCACACAGCTCTGTGTCAGCAAGGACTACTATACAAGTGAAAGAGAGGACCTATGCCTAACCTTATATATCAGACTTTAAACTAAACCCGCCATAAAATAATTACATTTTCTGTTATTTTTTATTTATCTTGCCCACCAGCTTTCATGCACTTGTTTTTTTCCATCTTTCTCAGTACTCACCCTGTGTTTTGATTTTCCACATATACTAAATCAGTCACTCTTAAAAATATATACATCTCTGACCTCTCTTGGCAAACAAGAGCTATTTCATTTTGCTCGCAATTGCTAACAACAGGACTGGCACCACATGCTCAATTTAGAAAGACACTCATCTGTATTTCACTGCCATACAATAGTACGTGATTTCAGACAACAGCAACCACACATCGAAACAGGAAACATAACAATGGAAAACAATCTTTTTTCCCCATCTAGAACAGCTGATGACTCCCTTTCAGCTGTGAAATCATGACTCAAACTTGATACAAGAAAATGTTTTCCCAGCATAGGATTATACATATTTATGTGTGTGTATATACAGTTTATGTCAGCTGCCTGAACAGTTTGGATGCAGCATCACCTGTGGCATATTTTATGATGGGCAAAGTACGTCACAGGACATACTTGTTCAGTAGCAAAGGTACCTCCTTCACTGACACCTGTATCTGTGTGACAATAAAATGTGGATTCACAAAGTGATCCCGTTAATATCAGGGTAAAATCAATCGTTGAATCCTCATTTTCTCCTTTAGGAAATTAATAGGATTACACAGATTACAGACAAATAATCCCAACAGTACGAACTATATACTTACTTTTTTAATCTTTTGGATTTTTTGAGCTTTATTCCGATAGATAACTGATTTTGAGGTGTACTATCTTAGAGATGCAAAAATACACAAAATAAAACACACTTGTAACTTGTCTTTTTTTTCTCAGAAACCATCACTTACTGGTCCATTAGAATTAAGGCACTGGGTATTACTTTCCCACCTTACACAAACTAAAAGGAAAATTGCAAAACAGATTGACTAGAAAACTAACAAAGTAACTTTTCAGATAGTCTACAGCAAGAACCATTCTCACTTGCTGCATCCCTCCCAAAGTGGATCCTTCTTTTACAGTCTCAGTATTTGAAATGCAAGAAAAACTGTAAAAATATAAACTATGTCAAATGACAGATGGTCATACTACAAAGAGGCATGGTTATGGTTAAGAGGAGATTTTGAGTGTTATGGAATCCAAACTTTAAATGTAGGGACTGACGTCTGCACTGCATTTGGAGAGTCACCTTGAGCTGACCTCAAACCTGACCTGGCCTGAGCATCACATGATGGCTTCATTTTCTACCAGTCAACCCTGGACCATGCCCTGTTTATAACTCCACTCAGGTCTCCTATCAGCAGCTGCAGGGAGGTAGCTCTTGGGTCAATGAAAGCACAGGATCATGGAGACACCTGCCTGGAGAAGGACTTGAGGGGTCATTTGAAAGAGAAGAGTGAGCCTGCAGAAGCCTGCTCTCCGGTAAAACAAGTAGAGAAACAGCTCTCGCATTTCAGACATCTCAGTGCTGAATACATGTCTGGAGGAAATAGCAGACATATGGAGTCCTTCATAAAGCTGTGAGATATGACCCACAGAGATCACTGAGTCGTCAGTCTAATTTTATAATCTTAACCCTGCTAGAAGTTTCAGACGCGTCTTATATCAAGTGTACAACACTTTCACGCAGCAGCAAAAAAAATAAGCAAAACCCAAGAAACGCACCAGTTCTATGTACTGTGATAGAAAAAAATATAGCAGTAATTTAACAGAAAATATTTCTTTAAAAGATCAAAGACAACTCGTCTTCCCCTTCCTGCCACTTTCATGCACACAGTGTTTTCCCAAATTGTGTTTTGCAAATGAAAATGTCATCATCCACCCAAGCCTAACTGCTGTACAAGTTGGTGTTTGTTCAGACAACAAATGCAAGCATGCACTGACAGCAAATTTGTGCCACCAATGGAAAAAGATCTGGAAAAGGCATGGAAAAAATCTGGTCTTGTGCATTCGCTTTGAATGTGTACAAGGTTCCAAACTGTAACTCCTTTTCTTTCAGAAATTAATGTGTTGTAAGGAAATCAGAGTGCAGTGTCATTTGGCAGAAAGGTAAATACAAAAATCATTACCTACGGTTACTTCCCCTCTTTCCACGATTGCCCCCATGGAGCGCAGGACGTAGAGCGTACACTGACCTGTACTTCCCTGTCCGCACTTGCAGAGCTCTCATACCGCACCGCTGGGCACCTCCTACATCATTCACAATATCATCTCCAATCATGATGGCCTGTCAAAGCAATGAAATACAGAAAAACTGGCGTCAGGTGAATTTTATTTCCGCCATACGTCACACTCCTTTGACATAACAAACAGCTTGATTTGATGTTTAATACTGCCATCAGACAAATTAAACAAGATAATATTGTCATCGTATTGATTAAAAGTCATCCTACCTTGAATGTAATTCATGCTATAGCTCGTCGAGCAATGTACTAGTGCAGTACACAACTCTCCAATTTGTAATCAATCACAAAAATCAAAGTGATTTGGCACAGTTCAAAGAAAATGCTGAATTTTATTAAGTTAGTCCTATTCTGTTCCTAATGCTGCACTTACGTTATGCTCCATGCAGTTTAAATTAAGCTTAACTTTTTAAGCATTTCCTTAAAATTGGTATTCTAAAAGCCAGTCAAAAGCTTAAGCTTGTGATCACTGAGATGTGTAACTTCGCAGAGCTTGGTCCCAATCCCTGCTCAGGTTGATATAGAAATTTGGAAAATCACTGTAAAATCTAATTTATTATTTTTGCACAACTTGATATGATATGTACAGGCCTTGCATGGTTTGTGTTACAGTGCAAATACCAATAAACTCAACTGAGTAGATTACCAAAAAAAAATGTAACTGAAAAGACCTTCTGGCTGTGTCTGATGAAAACGCGTAGCATGCATGCTCACTTCAGAGCTCCTATCTTTAACAAATAAAGATCTTTGTTAAATTGAAGCTTATCAACCAAGGGGTCTTTCTCATTAACAACTGCACCTTCAAAATTTCAAGTGCTTATTACCATCCTGCATTAACAATTATTACATTTATTTTATTCTTCAAATTTAAAACTAGTTGGGGGGGCTCATTTTATAGTTTCAACAAAACCCAGCATATACACAAAACAGTAATCTTCAATTAATAAGCAAAAAATCAGCTTTCAACCTTCCAAAGGCATTCTGGATTACTCTGAAGAGAACAGAGGCAGCACCTAAAACTGGGGAAACACACCAGCTTCGAAAATATGTAATCTAGTTCATCTATCCAATTTTAAGTGTGCTTTTGCACCTTCTGTATCAAAGTTGAATTTTATCTAAAATACATTAATTAGTTGCATCTTTAGCCACTTGATCTTCATCTTGTTGACTTAGCCTCCTGCTTTATAAACATAACTGCCAGGCTTTCCCAAAAGTGGCACCTTGCAACTCTAGAAATTCCTGCCTGAATTCCCATTCCTTCCAAGCACTTCTGATTATCTTCACATCTGCATATCAGATACATGGAGTCCCTATGCAAAGCGTTTCTTTTCTTACTAAAGAAATTGCCCTTATATTTTGTGTGGTTTGAGCTTTTTCTAGGGTCTGTCATGACGGGTCCTTGTCCCACATGTGGGCTTGGGAGGTTAAAGGCGTATTTGCAAGGGCACCAGGATTGCCTTAGATGGTGGTTGGGTTACTGAGGGCAGCACCAAGGGAGACTCTGCTGGGCACGGACAGAAAGCCAAGCCAGCATTTTTCCATCTGTGGAGAACTGATAAATAGGCCCTTGTCAGAGAGGTCATGGGAATGAGGTGCACACGGCAGAAGCAGGGATCAGCTTCTCCAGAAGCAGCGATCTACAGGAATGCTGAGTCTTTTCATACAGCTGGCTGCAGCTTTAAGGTCAAAACCATACAGAAAGTCTGTGTTGCAGGAGCCATTCCAGTTACCAGTTCCGCCTAATATAAAATCCTCTTCTTCCTTTGCCTTCACATGGAAGCATGTCTTTTCTACATAGCATGCAACCATACAAGAGCCCGTTCATCTTCTGTGTCACCCACACTTTGGTTCCCACTCCGTAAGCAGTCTGCTGGGCAGGACTAAATCATACATATTGAAGAAGTCTAAAAATACTAAAGCTCCAGAGCTATTTTTATTAATAATCTAATTACAACAGAATCTTCTCCCACTTATTACATAGCATGTAAAGGAAATCTCAGGATATACCTAAAGCTGCAAATGAACAGAAGATTTTCTGAGAGCATTCATAAACCAAACTGAGCTATCAACACATATATCTGGAACAGCTTCAGCTGATAAAAACTAAATCCTCTTTTGAGTAACACATCAGGTGCGGTGTGCAAGATTATATAGACTAGTTACCAGCCCAGTCTATCTTCCATGTTGTTTTTTAATACTGTTCACGTGAGGGATGATCATCTTCCCTCAGGTGATGGGATGTAACAGGATGCCCTCTCAAGTCAAGGCTCATTTGTCTGGTACCACAGTGAAGTAGTTTATTTTGAAACAGTTTATACATGCCTACCTGTGCTTCATTCTGCCTAGAAGAATCACCGCTGTGGCTAGGCTTTGAGAGCTCCTTTAAGGAGCAGAAAGACATAAGGAGTTGTGACAAAAGCGTCAGAGCTGGGGAGAACATGCCCACAGGGAAGGAGCAGCAGCAGGCTTTGGGACAGGTAGCTCTGCCTTTCCAGCTCTCTGCTCACAAACCACTTCAAAGCCACCAGACGATGGAGGGCTCAGTCTTTTCTACCCCTTTATTATTGGACCGTTTACCTTATCCACTCTGCTCATGGAAACATGTGTGTTCCTAATAAGATGCCTTCCTTGTAGATAGTTCACCTTTCCTTAGCACTCCTCCAAACAAGCAATCCAGTATGAAATGGGAAGAAAATGATGGGCTAATTTTAAGTAATTAATAAATAAAGCATATATACAGAGATGAGAAAACACAATAATCCCACTGTTACCTGCAGAGCTGCAAAGAACCTGGCAACACTGCTCCCAGCCAACTACCGTTACCAATTTCTCCCCAGGCTGCTTTGAGATATTTAATCATTCTCAACCACTGGCTTTAATAGTTTATAATTCCCTCTTCTTATAAAATTCCTTTCAACACCTCCCCAAGGCAGACAGGGAACAGCTGCAGGGGGGACCCCAGGAGCAGACCTGCCCTCTGCCACCTGCACACCCTTGCTCAGCCTGAACCCAGACATTCAGGATGAGATTTCTGAATTAAAGCAAATTTCAGTCCTGGGTTCTCAAAACCCTAAAAATGAATTTCCTCTGAAAACAAGAAAGGGCAGAGCAGAACAGCCCACCGAGCACTCGCTTGTTCGTCAGGGCTGTATTTTACCCCATCCAGGTAAGTTTTCCTGCAAGATGCCCAGCAGCTCTGCAAGTGCAGCTGCAGATGAGCAGTGATGCCTGTCCGGGCCAGCTTGTGGCATACGCATACAAAAATGTACTCCGGCCCCCGGGGATTTCACAGATTTACTATCGGTGAAGGGCAATAATCACTAAAGGAGGAGCAATTATTCCCAAATCATTTAGGATTTAAAAAATCATTGGCAAGAAGATAGAGGTCAAAAGGTGCACTGTCAAGGGAAATAAAAAAACTCTACCTGTCAAACCTGGGTTTAACTTCCTCTCTAACTGCAATATGGTAAGAACAGAGAGAAAGATATAAAACTGAAAGGTCACTTACCCACTGAAAGCAAGAATTAAAAGATCCCCATTCGTGTTCACATTTTACACAGGGATCACACCATTAATCTGTTCAATTATTCTGCGGAAGTTGCTTTTCTTAGATTGGCTAAATATTTACTAAAAAGAAGGGCAAAAATGCAGTGAGTCAGTCTCTCTGGTTTTAAGATAAATCATCAAAGAATTAAGATGGGAGTCATTTATATTTTCCTAAACCATATGGCTGGGGAGAGATGGTGTGTGTGGTTGTACACATGCAGTAAATAAAGCACACGTGTGCCAAAGCAGAGTGAAACCACTGCTCTTGAAGAGCCCCCATCAAACTCAACCCAGATGGGCAGTGATAACGGAGGAGATGAACATGACCTCCAAGAATTTGGGGGTGGGAAGGCACAATATAATCCCCACTGGACAAACCTCTGTGGCACAGAGATCACCATCACAGTCAGCAATCCTACTGGTGTTGTCAGGGCCACAGACCCAGAGCTGAATGGAGGTGGGGACTGACTCCTCTTACCCACAGAAGCAGCCAACACTAATAAGCTTTCAGAGATACTGGTAGGGTGGGAACCTTGCATATCTTTTGCCTGCAAACAGAGTTTTAATATTCGCTAAAATCACAGAAAAATGTTTTATCTGAAAGAATCATGGAGTAAGAAAATGAATGAGGCAGAAAGACAACAATTTCTGTACTACCTAGCCATGCTTGTGTTGCAATGCAGTGTTTACTAGGACAAGCTCAGGTACAATATTTCAGAGGCTGAAGCCTACGGAACACACAGAGAGATGCACAGAAGGAAGTGTGCTAACTTCAACAGAATATTTAACACAGTGAATGCTTCTACAGTCAAACATATTTATGCCTAAACAGATTCTTGCTACAGGCTTAATTACCTTAATCAAGCTAAATGTGCCAGGGACAAGAGGAAATAAAGCTTACATACAAAATCTTGATTAATGTATTAAACTCCTTTACACAAGAAATACGATGCATTTACTTTTCTCCCTATTCTCCTTGGCCCATATTATTGTTAATATGATATATTATATGATCCCATATTATTGTTAATTATGTTCTATCTCGTAACTACTGGCTGTGCAAACATCAAACACACAAAGGGCGGCACATGTGGCCTCTGATCTGGGAGAAAGTGTACAACAAGGCAGGTGAAACAAAGAAATACATTAAACCTCCAGGGCAGATTTCCAAAGGCTGCAGGGCCAGCCAGGTTTCAATAAGCTTTCAGCAGGACTTGAAGCTTCACTTGGGCACTTAACTCTTCTATCTGACATGGAAAACCTTCCCCCGTCGTGGCCGGTGAGCAGAGAGGGGATGCCAGCACGGCACATGCCACTCTCGGGGTGACCTCCCTCTGCTCTCATGCGCCACTAACTCCCACCTGAGACTTGCAGGTGGCAGAAATGGGAATTGGTTAACTACCAGTAGTTTATGCACTCCAGTATGACCTGTCATAACTCCCATTAAAGCAGGACAATTTGCTACAGAGAGAACTTTTTATGATTATATAAAACTACCGGAACCTTAACATTATTTAGGTTTTATTGTAAAGCTGTAAAAATCATCCACTGTTACAGCTGCCTTAAAACACATGAATTAGGCATTTCAGTAACCTTTAAGATGTGTTATTCTTTGTCATATTACTGAATCCTAAGATAGGTCTGGTTACCTCTAAGAGGTTTAAATTTCCAATCTATTAAAGTAATACCGGCAATCTGTTATTTCTAGGCCATTGAGGAAAGGTTAAAATGAAAATTGGACTTTGGGGAGTTCCTCCTATTCTAAGTGCAGGTTGAAAACATCTCAGCAGCAGAAGGCAAAGTCAGGGTCTCGGTAAGAAGCAGTTATCAAGGGAAACGACTGGTGATAACTTTATTGATTAAAGCAGCTTGAGAAATTTAAGATTTGCCACTGTCTAGAATTACTGCGGTGAGACAGCTTTATTAAAAAGGTATTTTTCATTAAAAGTCAGGTGAAAGAAAATTGTAGTATGTTTTCAAAAGCACAGCTCATCTAAAATGGTTTAATGATGGTATGGATTAAATGCATTCCACAGGTGGAATAAATTATTGGCAAACATTTTATAAAAGTAAAGGCAAGTAAACCCAGTCCTTTTCATGTCATTACAAATGCAGAGAAGTATAGCTCATTCAGGAGACAGATTAAAATGTAATACAGTGCATTACTAAGGAACTCACTGAACTGCATATACTGAGTTAATATTATGTATGATGAACTAAAACAACTACAAATTCTTCTCAAAAGAACATTAAAGTTGCAAGGTCAAGCACTCAAAAGTTAAGAAAATATGTCAGAATTAAGGTAGTTTGCTTTGCTGCAATTTGTCCCTCCTACGCCATGTGCATCATGATCCAGGTTTTAACTCCAGCAGCATGGACTATTTTTTCCAATCATCATAGAATCATAGAATGGTTTGGATTGGAAGGGACCTTAAAGGTCATCTGGTTCCAGCCCCCCTGCCATGGGCAGGGACACCTTCCACTAGACCAGGTTGCTCAAAGCCCCATCCAACCTGGCCTAGTCAAAGCACGGAGTGACTGGTGCCATTATGCGGTGGTGTCTACTGTGCTCCTCCTTGGTTAGGCACATACTCCCTTCATCTCGAATCTCTCTGAATACAAAAAATTACACCTACAGACTAGACATATGACTATAACAAATTGATGGCATTTAACACTAGAAACTATACAGAAAAAAATCTGTGTGAAAATATAGTCACTAGTAGCACTATGAGTATCTGGCAAATAGCAGAGAGTGAATAAATAGTAGTCTCTGCTGGGGACTATTACTGCTTTTCCATCCCCAAAACAAATCCTCTTGAAGTCGATAGGAACCACTCACCGAGGCTCACCCTATGCGACCATTTTTGCCAGCTTGGTGATGCATTATATCAAATTCTGCTCCCTGGAGCAGTTTTTGAGACAGAAGTTCTGGTGTGCTGTCACATCCCCGTAACGATACCCTCCCTTGGTGCCAGGGGCTGACACGGTCTCAGCATACCATGAGCTGGGCAAAACAGTGTCTGAGGACAACCGCGCCATCCTGCCTATGGAAAAGGGCAAGCAATGCCACTATACAGGGCCACAAGGATAAAAAAAAAAAACCAAAAAACCCTCCTCCCTCCAACTCCTATGTGTCGATCGTTTATGACATAAGCAGAAAGGAAACACAAACCATCCCTCTGATTAGACAAACGGTATCCAAGGGCTGAGCTCTGTCGTTTGGTTTTTTTTTCTTTGTTCTTTTTTCCAGCCACTTCTTCAAATGCCACTCTGTGTCTCAAATGGATTTTTTTGGTTTGTTGGTTGGATGAATGGATTGAATAATTGCCATGGCTGTACCTGGGATATTATGTTCAGGCTGAGCTATCTTGTTACTAGGAAGATATTGACAAACTGAAGGGAGTACAGAAAAGAGCACCACAGCAGGTTAGCGTGCAGAGGGACCAAATCACAAGGGAAGCTGCTGAGAACTAAACACACAGTTTTAGTAAGAGACAACTACTGCAATGATAACAAGTCTGGAGGTAATTGGAGGGAGAAAATATCCAGGAAGGCAAGCAGTTATTTTGGTTGTTACCTGGAATAAAACTAGAAATAAGGAGATGCAGTTTAAAAAGGAAGTATCCCAATGAATCTCAGAAAAAGCTGCCTGCCCACAAGACCTACTCGCCTGTGAGCACTGTCCCTAGTGTACTTACAGAAGCCCAGTTGTTTGGCTCACTGAAAACTACTCTGGACAAAACATTAATAAATGTGGAGCAGGGAACACTCCTGCACAGGGAAGGAGATAGATTAGATGGCCTACTAGGTCTTTTCCATCTCTCCACTCTATAATAAAGTAAAACCCAAGCACATACTGAATTACAGGGCCATAATTTCATCTCCAGGCTCTAGGGAACTACAAGCCACCCAAACTTCACTCCTGTTGTTTATAATGTCACCAGAACCTCCTGATGGAATTATTACGTTGTAATTCACTGCTGTCTGTGAGTCATCTCATACTCATCCTTATGTCCTGTGTGACATAACAACAAATCAACAAAGAGGATCTGGCCACAACTACAGAGCAGGGAAAAAAAAATGGGCTGTACTAAGTAAGCAGGGAGCATCACACATTCAGCGTGTTTCTGGAAAGCTTGATGAATACAATAACACAGGAGGAATTTTGGGATCAGTCAGTGCTTCCCATTCACCTAAATTAGAAAATATTTTATTTCTGCCTTTCCCTTTTATTAAAAAAAAGGTAGTCAGTGTGACACCAAAGGAAATAAATAACATTTTGGCTGCAATTCCACCATGCTGCAGCCTCCAGTCACCAAGCAGACTACCATGCATTGGGGCACCGCTCACCTTGTGAGGCATATCATTTTCCATAATTCCTTGGGAAACCTAACTTTTATTCTTTTGTATTGTTTTCTTTAGCCTCAAAGTAAAGGAATTTCACAACAGAAGTGCATGTTCTTTTGAACTATACGGTTTGGGAGGAAGGTGAACAAGAAAGCACAACGCAAGAGTACAAGTAGAAGGAGAAACCACAGTAGAGAATGGAGAGATGGAAGACTCTAAATTGGGTAGAGGTATGGAGGGCACAAGTCAGAACAAAGAGGGACACAGGGAATGAAAAGGGAAATAGCAGGCAATCAAAAAGAACCTCAAAAAAGCAGAGAAAATAATGCCATGCCTTTCAGGAGGGTAGGAAGTAAGAACAAGGCAGAAGAAATTCAGCAAGTCCCCACCTGCTAGCATTTACCCTCTTGGCTGTCAGTTCTCTTTTGTCTACTTCACATTATTTGATAGAATGAGCAAACATGGGTCGTCTTCCCTCTGAAGCATTTTTTCAACAATTTTCCTTTTCCTTTTTGAGTAATTCATAGGAAGATCCTGAATATAAATATTTCTCTACACCATGTATAACACACTGGGTTTGGAAAAAACGTTTGTGTATCCACCCCAAGTTTACCATGTCCCCCTGGCCACATTCCCTTCAACCTCTTCTACAACTTTCTCTGAAAGACAGCAAACCAGAAAAAAATGCATCAGTGGGCATAACTATATGGCACAGCCAGTGGTCACGGCATCAGAAACCTTACCTGCTGTGGTGGAACTCCCATTTCTGCTAAGGCTGACTCAAAAAACATTTTTGCTGGTTTTCCCAGTACCTCAGCTTGAACATCACAAGCATACTGCAAAAAAAGAAAAGAGAGACACACACAAAAAATGCTGATCAGAAAAGGATTTGTTCATCTCTAAGTCCAGTCAATTGTATAAAAAGTATGTGACTATTGATTTTTGCCCTTAAATAACACAATGGATTAGCAGGTGAAGGTGAATATCAGAGCATTTGGATAACAGAAGCGTTTTATGTCCTCTGGCAGGAGAGAAAGTCCTCCTGAAACATGTCAGGTTACAAACCTGTTACTTTCTCTATCACGAGAGCAGTCTTCAGACTCAGTTCCAGTATTGCTCGTTTTTGTCAGGGCATCACTCTCAAAGAAGTAGCAAATATCCTTCATATGAAATGATGAAAAGTACTGAAATGCCTTAAGAGATGTAGAGGGTTTCTTCAACCATCTGGCATATTTTCAGTGGTTCAGGTGACCAGCCTGAGCTGAAAAGCTTTATTCTCCTGCAACTAAATATCAGTAGCATGCTGAAAAAATTGAATAAATAAGGTCTTTCTAGCTTGTTCCTATACAACTAGAAGCCTGAACTTATTTTGGGAGGCAAAAGCTCTCACATGGATACAAACGAACGTGCGGCAAGCATACATTATATCTGCTATCTTCTGTGCTTGTATACTCCCTACTTTGCTTTAGTCTCTGCATTCATTCTGCGTTTATTTTTTTATATCTCTGCAAGCCTCTAAAAGGGAGCATAATGATTCTCTCCTTCTCTCACCTTTAGGTTGGCTTATCTGTGGGTTCCAGTTCTGCACTGATTTAATCAGGCTTAAAAACAGGATTGCACTTAAGTGTCTTGCTGAATAAAGGCCTTTTGCTGTAAACTGTAAAGGGCAAGGGCTACGTTAACAACGCTACACCAAACATAAAACGGACCTTCAGTTTTTCTTGGATTTCTTGCAGACAACATTCCATGTTTTTCTTTTCTGACTCCTTCTTGCAAGGACCTCACTTCCAATAAAGGTACCACAATGGTAAAAGTTCACATTTTAAATAAAATTTAAAAAATGAACGAAGCCAGAAAACAAATGAATCCACCCGTCTTTAGAATGCAGCAAATGAGTTTCAATCTGTGGAAACTTCCTCCACCAAGGTGAGTAATTACAGAAGACGACCCATATTTATACCAGTTACTCTTTTAACAAGGTGCACAGAGCGAGTAAGCATAATGCAAGCTATAAAATACCTCTAATGCCTTCATATACGCTCCAACATCAAGTTTCAGACCATCGGTTTCTTTATAGTAGCGTCTGGAAATGAAAGTGATAAAGTTCCAATGAAATGGCAGTTAAATACAAAGAAACCACATTTTATTATTTCTGTGCCTATATAGATGTCCATATGGCTGCAACAAAAAGTCAAGTCATCATAAACTCTGGAGCCTTAATTTAACACCAGGAATTAAGTAAAAGACAGGCTCAGTACTGTGCAATGCTGGGGAAAAGACCTCAGACCGGATGCCCATCTGGCATCTGGGACGCAACTCCACTGGTTCAAAGGGATTTCAACTAGCTTATATCAAGGATGAACTTGGCCTGTATTTTATTGCACAGAGTACTAGCTGCTTGCAAAGGACAGCAGTTACATTGCTCTTCCTTTAATCAGTGATGGAGACCCCTTGACAGATACAAGATGAGGGCTGGCACCAACCAGCAGCTGTAACACCTTCTTCAGTACATCTGGAAAGGGACCCCAAACAGTTGACCATCATTGCTTGTCACCAGCCTCCCACATGAGGAAAGCCAGGGCACTGCTTATCGGGACTAAGAAAGCCGTCGAAGCTAAATTTTGTTCCTTCTAAAAATGTTGCTATTGCCATGAAGCTCATAAGATTAGTTAGAATCTTTACAGTGTTTTTCTGGAATAGCAATTCACATTAACGCAGGTCTTCCAAGCTCTCCTGATCAGAGCAAAGACAGGTTTCTATATGACAGGAAAAAAAGGTAGGATGAGCAGCCAGTTAAGATTTTATGCCTTATCCTTCTGCCATTTTCGATTATTCAGCACAGCCTCCCTTTAAAATGACCACTTGACCTTTGCTAGAACAGCCATTAACCTTCTATAGTCTAGCGTAAACAGCTTAATTTTCTGACAGTGGCATGACAGAAGAAATTACAAAGCCAATTCCCACTCTCAGCCCAAAACAGATGCTAAATGTAAATCACTCCATTTTCAGGAGGAGGGCATTCTGCTTCAGTGACTCTGACACTTTCGTTTTCTATGGAATAAACTAAAACTTCAACGAAAATCAACCTACTTGCCCAAGGTAGGCACCTTGTTAAGGTCCACCCAATTACACTGATTCTGCATGTTAAAAACAAAGCTGGCTTGTGGCTGGTTTTTGTATATGGCCCTTTGCGTCAACAAGGCTCTTCTAGTTAGGTGAACAATTAATCCAATTTATAATCTACCTTCCTCAAGTCAGAGAACTTACCTACCAGATCAACTCATTCAGAACTCACGTTCATATTACCTAAATTATCAATCATTTAAAAAAATATGCTCGTGGTGAAAACTGAGCTCAGAATATCCCCCCCAAAAATCTATATTTTTAAATGAAAAACAGCATTTAAAAAAACAAAACCAGCAAGTCAGTTTTAGAGCTGTCTACATCAATGAATGACCAAATAAATAAATACTTTTATACGCACAGGGTACAAAGGCATTTTTGCATTCATCACGTTGCAAGTCTTAAACAAAGGTTGATTCTGTATTTCATTTTGAAAGATGGTATTACATAACACAGAACTTGGTTATTTTACATACATTAGCCATTCTGCTGTTGGTTCAACATTTCCTCCTTGTCCTTCTAACTGAGAAGCAGTAAGGATTTTTTGCCCATGTTGTAGGATCAGAGCGTGAGTGTCAGGTAAGGCAACACAATGGATTTAACTGCTCCTTCCTGCTGATAAGTTCTACTCAACTGGATCAATAACCACAAACTAAGAAGGGTTTTCATGCCCATTACGGTCTATTGAACCACTGAAAAAAAGTTGTCACTACAGTTTCCTCAAGCTAAACATGCATAGTCTTTTTTAAGCCCATACATCACACAACAGATAAGAATAACTCCTTCAAGGCAGTTGGGATTTGTCATTACTCAGTGCTGGCATTAATAACCTCCTGTTTAAAAACTCAGACTACATCTAACTGAATTGTTTTTAGGAAAACATTCAAAATCCCTGACTGGATTTTACCTGCATGTGAAAGCAGGAGGTTAGAATTTACCTTTAATGTTCAGAGAACAATTAAAAATGTCTTTTGATGTTCAAACTATCAAAAGAATTGATCTGTCGCTTCAAAAGCACAGCTGTGTTTGCAGGTCTTCGCCATACACACCAGCCCAGCCATTTCTCAGTGTATCCTTGGGTTCTCCCCTTCCATCTTTTTGGCCACCACACTTTACTCGCAGCCAGAGGAACATCTACCCCCATCTCCAACATAGTTCGAGTGGAGTTTGTGCATCGCAGCTACTTTGATAAATTGGTGGCGTTTCTATAGTAGCAAATAAAAACTCTCCTAGCTTCTTATTCCTCATGTATAGCAATTCTCAAGCCACCAGCATGAAAGCGTTCCCCTATGTATAACAGTTTCACACATATGAATCAACCTGCAGAGATGCTAATGCCAACTTTCAGAGACGGGATCTTTAAGTACCACTCAAATAGCAAGGAGTCATTTACGTCACACAGGCCATTAGCCACATCCAGTATCACACCTTAGCCACTACAAACGTGGGCAAGATTCAAACCTGGAAGAAGAAACCTGGCTGACCGTTGGCTGAAACAGGGAATTTTTGGACCACCTGATCCTCCTCACCATTAGTAACTTGAAGATGCTGGAAGATCAAACTGCATCACAAATCTACACCAACAGCCCTTTATCCAAGCACGGCCTGTTGGATTTTTTTTGTTTGGTTTGCATTTCTTTCACTATTGAAAATCATTTCTTTACAGTTCAGACAGGAACACATGGCTACACACAGCAGATAAACCAACAGTTCTCATCTCTGAGATCTTGCAAGGGAGGAGACAAAAAGATGAGCAGTGCCTATAATCCTACTGGCCTCTTGCAACACTCATTCATTCACTTGGGACTTGCACACATCAAAATCCAAATTCTCCATGACTTCCATGGGTTTTTTAAGAGGATCTCAGACTTGCTTGTAAAGCAACAGAAGTCCTTTTCCTAGTGGCTTACAAAACTACAGCTATTTAATCCTCCCACTGCCACCTGCAAACATGTGGATTGTTTCATCAAGGTCTAGCTCACACTTGAATGCTGACTTTGAAGGGTTGGAGGCTGGCATCTGCTGTGCTTATACACCAGGGTGCCTCCAGGTTCTCTAAAAGCTGCTACAATTCCTCCTCAGAAGAGCAGCTACATCTCTCACCCTCTAGCAATTGATGAAATACATCCACACAACTGCTTACTTTGCACTGTCTACAGAAAAAAGATCACCAACAGCTGAAATTCAAGAGATGCCTCACCCAGTGCTGTAGCAGCACAGAGACACTGCTGATGAATATTTTCAAAGTCAACTGGGGGATTCAGCATGGCAAGTTCAGTGACTTCCAGTGCCCTTTGCAATCTTGCATCAGCACAGGGCTGAACTGTGGCTCATGAAGAGCATCCATACCACCTTCTTTGAGAGACCTATTTCAGTGTAATCACCTCAGTTTTTCCTTACACCCCTGGAAAGGCTATAAGTGAGTGACTCAGGACAGGAGGCCAAGTTAGGTGACTGAATTACCCACTGAGGATTCTCCATTGACAGGTATCTGAGCACATCAGCCTCCCAGTCCAGACACATAGATTAACTGCTTAGAAATTGGTACTGTGAATGCCCACACCAATATCTGGCCTCCATTAAGTACAAAGACACTAGAGGAAATTAAAAAATACAGAGACTTGAAGAAGAAACAGTGCTTAACTCACCCTCTTCCAAGGGAGATCAAAACAGGCTTCTCCATCCCAATCAGAACTCGGAAAGCTTCATTAAGGTTTGCATAGGTGAAGTTTTCTGCTGCATCTCCAATAACCACACAGTTTGGGTTTGCTTTATCAATCTCAGCAAATTCAGGGATGAGATCTACAGAAGGAGGGGAAAAAAAAAATCCACAAACCCCTTACCATTTCAAATGCCATTGGAAGTAATGGTTTTCCCCCAGATTTGTGTTTCCTTTCATTCATTCCGTGACACATAAAAAAAAACTTTAAAAAAAATCCAAGTCTCAATCAACTGTTCTTCAGACCCCTTCTAGTCCTGCCCAGATCCTGCTATTCATCTGTCCTAGAACAAAGAGCCAAATAAACCATTTCCTACCCTTGCCTTAGCTCCCGTCACCCACATCTCAGTTATATCTTAGCTCATTATACCCAAGCACCTAGACCCGAGACAAACTCCTGGGTAGCTGAATGAAAATGTGCAATAGCAAGAGCAGGATCCACCTCCTTTCTCCGTACCCACATCCTACAGAAGAAAACACTTTAAACTTAAAACCTCTGCCATGATAACAAAGACAATGTCATGTCTTACAGAAGACCTCGCCTATCTCCTAGTCTCTGTTGTTAAGTAGCAGACTCCTCTGTGCACTTGCTGACCCTCAGCACAACTCTGTGCCTTCCCTGTACCACTGCCACAATTGAGATCTCGCTCAGGCCAGACCACTATGGTTTATTCCAGAGTCTCATGACTAAGGAAAAAGTTTTCCCTCTAGGAAAACAACAGCTAGGAGCTCTTCCCCCCTCAAGCTATGGGAATTCACTGCTCTATCGCAAATGCCTGCATCTCTCTGGGGTGTCCCTCTATGTCTCCCAGCATCTACTGCAGCGGTGTCCCACCATTGTGCACAAGCAAGTGCGGCCTCAGGCTGCGCTCCTTCAAAATGTGGCAGGCTGCTGGTGCTGGGGCAGTGACTTCATCCACGGAGATGTCAAAGCCCATGCCCTGGAGCTTCTTCACAAACTTCTCCCGGGTTGCTTGGGTTTCGTTAGTGCAGAACCGCAGCTTCAGACCAGATGCTTTGATCCTGTTGAGTAATAGCAACAGATGGGTTAACCAGACATAGAAAAGGAGCTAAGAGTACCAGCTTTGCTGTCCCACTGAAGCCTGAGCATGCATCACGACATCACCACCCCCAACTTGGATAATTACAGCAAAAATGCAAAGAGGATATTCCAGAACAGGAGCAGGATCCCTTACTGTGACTAAGACACATGTAAAATATGGATTCTGGGCACTACAGCTGCAATTTTCATGTGTAGACCCCCTGCCACAGCATGTAACTGCCCTTCTGGAGCAGAGAGCTAAGCTGAATAGAGCAGCACAGGTGATGCCCACCATCCCCAGAATACCACAGTCTGTCAGGCACATGCTCCTTTACACATCAAAAAAACCAAATCCAGTTCCTTTTCTTTAAACCGGTCCATGGATGTAATCACACATGACCTGAAGGCACTGTACAGCCGTGAGTACAGTAGCTGGTGTGATACCACTGGCTATTAGCATTTTAACTTGGATTTTCACTTTTCCACTTCCTGATCACCTGCTGCAGTGATTAGTTGGAGGTAACAGCAAGGCTTTGCACTTCTGCAGACTCCAGGTAAGAAGCCAGCTAGTTGCAGCGATGCTTATATCAACACTGGGGTGGCTTCAGTTACATTCATCATTTAATCTCTCATAAAACACCTGTGCTGTTAGTTCGTGGGTAATCCTGAAAAATATGGTACTTTAACCAATTCATTAATAAATGTTTACAGGCAAATGGCTTCTCAAGGGAAGAAAACATGGCGCCAAGTGCCCAGAGCCAAGGACGTGGTTCCTGTGGATTGGTACTCTGCAATCCCGTGCCAAGTCCTCTGCCTCTGAGCGGCTTTATTTCCTGACCCAAGCTGTGGTGACCTACTGGGGATGTCACAAAAAGACCTCTTCTCCAAGGATGAGTTGTCAGCTATTTGGAGAACCAATGTATTTCAAAGTGGCCATGGAAAATCAGAAGCATTGAAAATGTATCACAATTTTTTTTTAAATATTTGCCAAAGGAAGGGACTGTTACTTAGCTCCTCAAATATATTAAAATGCCTAATTTTTGTCAATTTTAGTGTGAATTTGTACATAATTATCTTTGAGGACCTGAGCTCTTACAGTTTTGGATACCTAGGTAGGTTCGGAGCTAGGCTTATAAATTCTTATTAAAATATTGTTACTTTTCTTTGTGTTAGGATGAAAAAGGACTTCTCTGTTAGGAAAGCCCCTGCACTGACTCTCAAGACAACAAAACATGCTGGGTTCCTTTTCTAGGGAAGATGATCCCAATTGGTTGGCGCAAACACCAAAACCACCTCGAGGTAATGCATCTGGTGACGAACTTTCCATCAAAGGATTCTTAGAAATCTGGTCCTCACCCAGAAAGCCCCTTCCGCTCATTGAAACTGCACGCCAGTGTCTTCTTCAGTAACGCTGGTGATTCATTTCTTTCTTATTATTTGTCTTTCCTAATCATAGGTATGTGAATTATCAATTACACTTAGTGGTTAATTGCCCTTCATAAAGATAGCTTTTCTATTTTAAATTAGGCAGTTAATATATTGTAACTAATAGCATCCACTTGTACATTATAAATATATCTTCATTGATTGGAGCAGTGAATGTGAGATTCACTCACAAGTTAATGAAGCAATTGAGTGAAGAAGTGCAGGGTGTACCCAGGGAATAATTATTGTTAATGAATTATGATGTGACCTTCTCAGAACAATGAACAATTGGTGTGACAGTGGGATGACAGTATTCCACATCTGTTATTCGAAACACGGTTTCAGATGTAGTTAAAAAGCAAAGCAGTATAATTTGGATACATAACAAACTTTAATAGAGTGTGCCGTGGTTAAAAAAATCTTATTCTAAATGCAAAGCCTATCTGCACACTCTTAGGAAAAAAAATCCAATGATTCACGACTGCCTGGAAGCAGACATTTGTTGAATAAGAATCTATTCTTTCTCTTCCTAAAGGTCAATGAAATGAATCCAGGAACAACACTAACCACCGACTTGCACAGACAAATAAGCACCCTCATGGGTCAACTTGGTGAAAGCAAAGACTCAGTTTTCCTATACTACAAATCTAACTTCCTTCTCAGAATTTTAGATGAAAACCAGTTACATTTCTGAAAGGCTTGACGAAAGCTGAAGCAATATGGACACGTCCTGTATTGCTTTACGCCTTCGTGGCCACCAGCAATTATCACCTCAACAAATGGGCTCAGTAAATGCTTAGGATCAGGTGAGGATAGGCCCAGCCAGTCAGAAAATGGGACTCCTCTGGTGAAACATGAAAAGGAGTCTCAAAAATATCCTGGAACACTAAACAAAAGAAAAATTATCAAGAACTCCGGAGAAGACTTATTTCTACAAAATACCTTTTCAATGAAAAGCCACTTTCTCCTTCACAGTTAGCATCTCTAAAAAGACCCTCTGCTAGCTCTCTGCCAAATTTTTGTACAGTACAGTCACACTGACCAGTACGTGCACGATTACACATACACTGGGACAAATCCATCCCTCGATGCTCAGCACGGGGACCGTGAGTGGAGCCTGCAGGCCAGCACACATCAGCAAACAACTATTAATTCAGAGCTTAAATAATTAGGGAGAGCTTTTAACAACAGCTCTACATGGGGGAAATCCTGGCTCTGCTCGTGTTTACAGCAAAACTCCTTCAGTTTTCATGGTCAGGTTTTGCACCAGGACAAACTAAGAGAGATGGCGTGAAGGTCTCTGACAGAGGCGAGATGCTTCACACAGTGAGTCTATGGTGCACTGGGGGCACAGCTGCTAAGCTGGCCAGCTTAACGGGAAACCTCGAGCTACTGAGGTGACCCAGCCACCAGCGTTCACATTTTAAGAAGCACGTGCAGAGCAAATTACTGCAATTTCTAGTGCCGGCAAGTGAGAGGATGTTAGGAGAAGAAGAAAGAACAAAATCTGTAATGTGATGCCTTATAAGATAAAGAGCGAGGGATTAGATACCTGCAAGTACAGAAGAATGAGGCAACAGCAGACAAAATACACAACACACATTTTATCAAGATCTCGAGCATATTACAGATTTATCAGCATCTATATTACAGAAGCGCAGGCACACCCAGGAAACCCAGTCAATCAGAGCTTTAGCTGACTTTCATTCATCGTGGCCATGATAAAGATCCCACTCAAACTCCAGAAGCACCAGAAATCAATCCTGATTAGAGCGCAAGCCGAACACAGAGACAGGTAGCAGGGCGCTCCATACTGCGGGAACTCTGCATGGTCCAGCTAGCTGCAGACATCCCAAGGCTGCCTCTCGCTCCCCGTTCGGGGCCGTCAACAGACTCACCGTCAGACAAATCCACTCTGTTTCCAACATGACTGCTCATACCACTCCTAATGCCCACGAACAGGAACGGGGGAACTTGGACTTCACCTGCGTGCGGGGAGCTAGGCGTGAAGGGAGAGCAGCTTCTGATTTTTCAGGGTGTCACAAATGGCAAACTCGGCTAAAAGCATCTCTGCAGAAAAAGAAACTTGTCAGAGCCCCTCTAGGGAGGACGACAGAGTGCGCAGGGCAGCAGGGAGCAGATGAAAAGTCCAATTGCACCCCTCCAGCTGTGTGCCGCACAGGCTCTGCTGCCATGGTATACAGGCGCTGAAGCAAAGGAACAAGTCACAAAAGAAACTTCCAAGCCCAAAATTATAAGCGGACAGATGAGCACTGAACTAACACACCAACAGGTGGGTAAGGAGATTTTTTCTAAGCCTTACTAGAGGAGGCATTTAAACCCAGTCCAGACCAAAACAACCGCTCAGTTGCCAGAACAATCACTAAATCTAGAACCGGGGTATCCACCCGGCTCTGGGCACACCATGAGCACAAGTATAGGGGAGAGATGGAAATGAGGTTTTTAATTTCAGCCCCGAGCTGCCCCTTACGCTACGCCAGCTCTTTGAACTGACCTTTACCTCGTTCTGCCGGAGCGGGACACGACGCTGAGTGACAATGTCCCACAATGCAATTACCGTGCGTCAGATGAGCCGGTCCCTTACAAATCACCTCGAACTTTACACATCTGCTGGCTGTCAGCATCTGCCAGGTTCACTCACCCGAAAATAATGAAAAAACTCTCATTATTGTTCCATAACAGGTAAAGTGTTAGGACAATTATTAGACATCCTGACTGACCTTGTGCAGACTTAACCAACCGCCCTTGCCAACCTTAACGGGCAGCCTTTGGGCATATTAAACACAAAAACTCTTCTTTCAGATGATGTAAAGGTTGTGACACCCGTAGGAAAAGAAATGGCCCCAGAATCTAAGCTGGAAGCCATCACTCCTTCTTAAATTCACATTGTCCTGCACATGGCAGAAGCAACTAAGGACACGGTATAAGGCTAAACTTCAGACTTCCCATCTTTGACCACCCTCTTTTGCAGTGAGGGTTTTTCTTAACAGGGGAGCAGAAGGAGAGTCCTGCCAGCAGGTCCTGTGCAGACAGGCAGGGGGGCAGAAAGCAAAACCCTGGAAGAGGCAACAAGCCTGAGCTTGGCAACTGTCCAACGCCAACTTCAAAGGGGTCTGGAAGAGCACTGGTTATGAGATTTCCAGAACTGGCTTTTCATCCTGCTTTTTGGTTTTTCAGAGCCCTTTTTTTTTTTTTTTTTAATTTAAAAGAAAAGAAAGCATGCTAAGCACTTATGCTGTTTGACTCTTTTGCATCAGCAGACGAATACCAGTGTGCTTCAGTGTAAACTTGTCAGCACTCTAATACCATCTCTGAAACACAGGGAAATAACAGTACCTGAGAGTTATCTACCTGCAACCAAACAATAAAGTAAAACCAGGACTTGTGCAGGAATGTCCTCGCACCTGGGCAGGGCTAATGTTTGCTTACTGCCCTCTGCAAGGGCCAGGGTGCTGGTGCTACAGGTAAAACTTCTCCTGTCAAGAGGAGATGAAACCGAGCCAAGAACAAACTGAGCGTAATGGTCAAAAGTAGA